TTTCATCCAGCTATTTTCTTTTGATATAGTACACAAGCCAGGAAAAACATTCACACTACCCGATGGACTCTCAAGACGACCAATATCCAGTGACGACGAGGAATTCTACAAGGATCAGGAAGATTTTGATGAAGACGAACCAGTAATGAAGCCTTGCTACACTTTTCAGATCTGTTCTCAATCTGAGATTTTAGAAATGAAGGAATGGGAAGCGCCTGGTTATTGGCGAGACCTCCGTCACTATTTGGAAACCCTGGAACAACCTGTCACAATGGATAAAGTAGAATTTGCAAAGCTTCGACGAAAATCAGCCAACTTCTTCAGCAGCGATGGACGACTCATGCGGAAACACTCACCGGCACCACAAATCGTAATTTCAAAGGATACCTATCAGGAAAAACTGCTCCGGAAAGTACACGAGGAATTGGGACACCGGGGAATTGAAGAGACATACCAGCGACTAGTAACTAGATTTTGGTGGCCAAGCTTGAAAAAGAAGGTCAAGAAATGGGTACAAAGTTGTGAAGCCTGTCAGAAACGAGACCCTCTGGTACCAAGAGAAATCCGAAATGCAACTGGGGACAGTTTTCTTTTTGGACGAGTAGCATTGGACGCTTGCCACATCAAAGCAGGACAATACAAATACCTTATTGTTGCGCGGGATGATTTGTCTGGATGGGTTGAGGCGGCACCTTTAGTTAAACTTACAGCAAGCAATGTGGCCAAATTCCTTTTGGAATCCTGGGTATACAGATATGGTTCTATCAAATCAGTTACTGTGGACAATGGCGCAGAGTTTAAAGAAGATTTTATTGACGCTGTCAAGAAAATATGTGCTACCCTTAAATTTACAACACCATATTATCCTGAGGCAAACGGGATGGTTGAACGCGGGCACCGGCCAATTAAAGATGCACTTGTTAAATTGTACGGAGAATCTGGTGGCAAATGGCGCAAATATCTCCCCTTGGTATTATTTTCAGACAGGATTTCTACAAAACGGACGACCGGATTTACACCATATGAGCTAGTTTTTGGACATTTACCAGTATTGCCAGTGGACCTTGAGATGGACACCTATTTAGGGGTTGATTGGTTAGAAATTAAAACTACATCAGAACTCTTGGAAGCACGAACCTTGCAACTAGAAAGGCGGGACGTACTTTTGAAGGAGGCCCATGAAAAGATGCTCAGATCAAGGGAGGATTCTGTAAGATACTGGGACCGAAAAATGGCAGCACGACTACGAAAACCATTGGACACAGGAGAATTCGTTTTAGTCTACAACAAAAGTTTGGAGGACCAGTGGGGGAAATTATTTGCTAATAGGTGGAATGGACCATTTAAAATCAAAAAACAATTACCCAAAGGCTCTTACATTCTTGAGGAACTAGACAGAACTGAACTCAATCGAACGTACGCGGCATCACATATTAAACAATTTTACCCTTGAGGACGGCGACTGAATGAGATTACTGAAGATGAGGAGGATCCAGAAAGCGGTAGTGAACATGAGGAGAGGCATAGTGACTCTGACCATGAAGACTCCCAGGATGGATCTGAGGACACTGATTCAAATTAATCTTGGCTATCTCCTGGGCACGAGACTAAACTGTTCAAATATTGCAAATAATTGTAATAAAATGTATTAGAAATAATATATGCGGCATGAATTCTTTCAAGTTGGGGGAGGAAATCCTTACCTTTTTCTTGACGGGGTTGATGCTGGCAAAAATGAATAAGCTGGCTCAAATTTTTGGAAGTTGGGGGAGGAAAACCTCACCACTCTTGCTTGAATTGGACCAGTAAAAACAAAAACAAACAGACATCAAAATCAAAAAAAAAAAAAAAAAAAAAAAAAAAATACACAAACCTTATAAATTTTGTAAAAGCAAATTTCTCAAGTTGGGGGAGGTAACTCTTTCCTCTTGGAAAATTGTTTGGTCTGCTTGCATTTCTTACTTTTGTTCTACCAGTTCAGCAAAAAAAAAAAAAAAAAAAAAAAAAAAAAGAGTTGCACTGTTAGAGCTCAAGTCCTTTCTTAAATATTTCTAGAGCAAGTTGATAAACTTAAAACTTTATGTTAAGTTTGTCCCTCTCAGGGGTCAAATTTAAGCCCTCACTCTCTCCTTCTTTAAGGTTGGGGACAACCTTTCTAAGTTGGGGGGAGGGGGATTGCTTTGTTTGAACCCATTTTTTATTTTTATTTTTTTTCTTCTTTCCCAAGTCTCAAATCTTCAAGGTTGAGAACAACCTTCAAAGATGGGGGGAGGAGGGCCCTTTTTTTTGTGAAGCCATTTCTTGGTATCATCATTCTTCAATTGCTTTTTTGTTTATTTTTTAATTTTGGAAGCTGAAATTGGATGAGGAATCATCAAAGAAGGCATCAGGCCAACTTAAATCAAACAAATCGGACCATGTGGAACATCGGCTAAGCAACAAAAACGAACGGCAAGCGGGC